TGACTTCTGGGTCAACATAGTGATGGATCTTGCGCTCATTGAAGAGGCCTGAGAGGTTCGTTTCCACCTTGGCACGTCTGGAGATTCGCATGCGCAGAGCAAATAGGTGACGCAGGTTTTCCTCCACGAGTGGCAGATTTTGTCCATTCAGGCGTTTCTGCCAGGTTTTCCTGGGTCGCTGCCGTTTCTGTTGAGTCAGAAAATTGAAATGAACTTGGTTTAACTCCACATATTAAACATGAATGAATTAGTGAACCCCCAGATTTAGACCTGAAGAATTTAAATTGTAACAGGTTTGCAGAGAAATATGTAGGTGCTTTAGTCTACTTCTACACCATTAGGTCTTACTTTCAGAGTGGTAGCATTTGGGTCATGGCGAAGTAGGTGTCTGGTCATACTCTCCTGCAGAATAAAAACAGTCACTACACAAGTTCCAAAAAAAATAAATTGCAAATCAAGTTTATTATTAAAGCTACTTTAAAACTGGATGTTATGTTTCACTGGCATCTCTTTTGATTTAAAGTAGGTACACATTTCCAGTTTCTTGCTAGAGACCTACCCGCATAGCAAACATGCGAGTACAGTCAGGGAAGGAACATCTGTATTTGAGCAGCTCAAGGTGCACCTTGCGAATATGGTGCTGCAGGTTGAAGGTTGTAGAAAAGTAAGCCTGGCAGTCATCTCTGGGACAGACCAGCACAGGCTTGTGGGAAGCATGCGTCCGCTTGTGCCTCCGCAAAGAATCCACTTTCTTAAACTCCTTCTTGCACACTTGGCATGTAAATGTGGCTGCAACACAAAAAAACAATTAACTGGGCCATCCTTTAACCAACAAAGCACTGAGCAGGGAAACAAAAACTATGTACTATGGTCAAATTCACCTGGGTGTTTAATCATGTGTTTCTGAAGTTTCCCCCAGGTATGTTCAAATACCTGGCAATTAGTATGAGGGCAGCGGTAACCTGCAGAGACCAGACAAATGAGATCATCCACCATCTCCCTTCTGGGCCATGTTTATTTTGTCTTCAATGCATGAAAAGGTTACACACAAAAGCATTCAACCCCATTTTAATGAAAAAACTGTACCGAGATTAAAGACGACAAGTCCCCACCAAGATTAAACCAACCTGCATGCTTCTTCTCGTGAGCTTTGCGGGCAATATGGGAGTCAAATGTGGCAGCGCATCCATCCTTCGAACATCTAAGTATCCCAGGAGTAAAGACAGAAGTAAAAATTAATCACAGACACCAACCCCACATAGGCATTGGCAGCTCATTCTGCAGGTATAAACGCTGATTAAAGCAGTAAAAGTATCATCTTTAATACAGAAACTCATTTGACAGCTTCAGCAATTTCTTTAAGTCACACAGTAGTGTCAGTATATGTTAAAGCAGAGCAAAATCTGAACTATATTTTATATGAATCCAAGCTATTACATGGACTTACTTGAACTTGGCAACCATTTCATGTTCCTTCAGGTGCATCTTAAACAATCTGCGCTTTTTGAAGGTCAGAGAGCAGTTTGGGTGTTTGCACTACAGGACGGGAATGCACAAGTGATTAAAATGACAAGGCTTGAAAACCGGTTTATCTCAAAAGTAAACGAAGCTGGTGCAAATTATGTAGTTTTGGTGCCATCTGGTGTATAAGTGTATATTCACACAAACCTTGAAGTACTTATTTTTGTCTCCATGGGCGAAGCGCACGTGTCTCTTCAATTTGCTTGCGTTAAAGAATGTCTTTGTACAGGTCACAAACTTGCATCTGCATGAATCAGAAACCAAAGTGAGACGACAGCTGAGAGAAGGAAAACCGTGTTTGAGTTACTTACTTGAATCGCTTCTCCCCGGTGTGCTCAAGCATGTGGCGCCGCAGGTGAGAGCTTCTGGAGAAGCGACGACCGCAGCCGGCAACTGCGCACTGGCACGGGCGCTGCACGCATTTGTCATAGTTGTAAAGTTACTGTTTCTTACTTTATTTTTCAGTTTAAAGGGTTTAGAAAGAAAGGCTTTGGCACTGCGTAATTGAATATTTTCCTTACCGCCCCGGTGTGCACAGTCTCATGCTCTGTGAGTTTCCACTGCCTGGTGAAAGTTGCGCCACACTCGCCATGAGAACAGCTGAACAACTCCAGCGGTTGACCGCAGACAGGTTTCCCAGCTCGCATGTCATTCATTTTTTTCTGATATCTGAAAGTTACTCTAACTACAGAACGTTATGAAAACCGAGCGGCTGTTCCCTGCCAGTCTTATACTCTCTGGAAAGCTTTTAATTAGTTAACTGGCAGCGTCCTGACACCAGGCGATGAGTCACGCTTTACTATACTCTAAGAGAGAACCTGAAACCAATTAACTGCTAATTACCTCATTTTCCGCCACTTGGCCCAGCTGTAGTCACACAAACCTGGGCAAACCAGCACATCAATCAGCTCGTCACGTTGCTGTCCATGAGTGTTGCTATACTTTTTTTTTTCCTGAAGTGATACAATGACGGCTAAAGAAGACACATCAGAGATTAAAAACAGCAAACTGTGATGTTAAATTCTAATAAGGAGGCTATATTGTAAACATGCCTTCATGAAATTGGCTCATACTTAACAATAAGGACTCTTTCAACAACACCCCTTACTAACACTCCACGCTGAAGCTCTTCTCGATTACATAGGTAATCAGAGTTATACCTGTGGCAAGAGGTACCATGGGAAATATACACTCACTGCCCACTTTATTAAGCACATCTTGCTACCAGCAAGTTGGATCTTGTTTGTTTTTGTTTTTTGTTTGTTTTTTTTTTGCCTTTAGAGCATTCTTAATTCACCATGAGACAAATTCAACATGGTGCAGAAAAAAACTACCCAGAGATTTTGGTCCAAATTTATATGATAGCTTAACACAGTGGCTGGAAACTTGTCGGCTGCACACCCATGACACAGACCTCCAGTTCCACCACATCCCAAAGATTCTCTATTAGACTGAGATACAGTCACTGTGAAGGCCACTGGAGCACAGTGAACTCGTTGGTATGTTCAAGAAACCAGGTGAAGGTGATTTAAGCTTTGTGGCACGGCACATTATTCTGCTGGAATCAACTATCAGAAATGTACATGAGTAAAAAGATGGACATGCTCAGCAATAATATTCAGGTAGGCTGTGGCATTTAAATGATATTCAGTTAGTATTAAAGAGCCAAGAAAATATCCACCACGTCATTACACCACTAGCCTGAGGAAAGAACAGAGAATGAACAGAGGATTTTGAGTTGTTTACACATTTTGAATTTTAACAGTTGGATATTTAAGTTACTGTTGCCTTCATATCAGCTTGACACAGTCTGACCATTGTCTTCTGACATCTGGCATCAATGAGGCATTTTCACACAAAGAACTGCTTCTCATTGGATATTTTCTTTTTTTTTTTCCATTCTTTATAAACCCAGAAATGCCTGTGTGGGCAAATCTCAGCAGATCAGAAGTTTGCACCAGCCCATGTAGCACCAACAATCATGCCAAGTTGCCAAAATGCATTGAGTTGCTGCCATATGGTTGGATAATTTGCATTAATAAGTAGATGTGTGCTTAAAAAGTGGCCAGTGAGTGTATTTCTACTACGCTTCAGTACACCTGAAATGGGAATAGCTTTCCCATTTCTTCTTATTCCAGCTGAATGGACTCAGTTACAGAGAATTCAGCAATTAAAGCTCTGACTGTGATACAGCACAGTCCACACCAGAGGGTAGTGTGTCTCTATCACAGTTGGCTCTGCCATTCAGATTCATGCACAAACTGTAAAAGTATTTGGGTATTCCCATTTATTTACTTGTGTATGTCCTGCATTCTGAAACAAATGCCTTCTGTTTCTCAACACGTCCGTTGGATTTTTAATGAGAATCATTGTAGAAGCTGGTTGAGACTTTTCCCCTGTTTTAGCAGAAGGTGTTAGACAGCTTAACAAGACTTCAAACATTTATATGCTACAGAAGGAATCCCCCTTTATATAACACGTATGGGAGGTGTATAGTGATGGATGCTGATTTACTGTGATTCCACCTGTGCTTTTATTACTGTGACATATCAACATCGACTGTCTATAGTACAAGTTTTGATTCAGGACTGGCTGCTTGAGAAGAGTTGTCTCTGTCAAGCTCTGATATAAGAGGGTTCAAGATTGTGATTATTATACATTACTTACATTTAAGTGTAACCTGAAATCTTAAAAAAAATGGAATTCCTCATATCCTTTATATTCACCCTAAAACCAGTGTGACCACTGCATCCCTGCTCACAGAGCCACCTTTGCACTACTTGCAACTCAGCTGTCTTACTGCAGAATACTGCATCAGCACTATGTGACCACTTACCAGATCACAGTGAAGACTTTAGTGTTTGAATCAGAAAGCCAGCAGCAAAGTGCAGACTAAAGTCAGGGTCTGTTTAAAGTTTTAGAACTGCAATATTCTGGCAGCCATCATTTTTTATTTTATTTTATTTTATGATATTTTATTTTATTTTGGCAGGGCAGGAGCATCTTTAGCTTATGCTGCATTCCTCCTGATACTCCCACCTCCATCTCTTCCTGCTATTCCTCCTTCTCTGCTTGTCTCAAAGGGAGGTAAATGAAATATTCAGAGGGGGTGCCGGTGCAGTTTTTCTCCATTAGTTTGATGTATTATAGGATGGCTGCTGAGATTGGGCTGCACCAGGGAAGCTAAACCCAGCAGGTGAGAGACAGCAGAGAGACTGCAGGTTTCAGCGTCCATCTCCATTAGTGGCTTCTGATTAGGAGTCATAAGCAGTTAAACTCATACATCCCTTTGAACACAGCATGTTTTACTGATCACTGGGGCCAACAAAAGCTTTAGAGTTACTTTAGTCAACATGATCATGTAATGTTCTTGTAGGGACATTCACAGTGGTTAGTTGGAGTTTTTCATTTCACTGACAGCAGTGTGTTTGGGCAGTATGCTCTGTGTGATGCTTGATTCAAATAAAAAGACTTAATCAGTCCCTGATATTACACTTTAGTAGCAGTCGTGCATATTCACTTAGCCGCTCTGCTGTGGTTAAGTAAGTACTCAGTGGACCACATGTAACATTCATTTTTTTCCAGCATTAATATTACGTTTTCTTCTTTTGCTACATATTTCCAGACCTATAAGCTGAATGTAACACTGGCTCTTAAAGTGAAAACCAGCTTCTCATTACAAAAACAGTGATTTTTCTAAATGTTAAAACAGCAGGATGCATTCAAACAGGTTAAACATTTGGAGATCCCTGTGATTAAGTTTATTTTTATGGCATTTGGTATAACTTGCAGTGCTGAAATGAATAAAAATGAATCGTAAGAATATCTTGAACAGTTTGAGCTGTTTAAGGCAGAAACAAGGTGTGAACAGTATGGCCTCTGCTGTAGCCGGTTTGTCAGAGGGTGTCTTGGGTTCATAATGTCTCTCCTCGGTCGGGACCACTTTCATCCCCTATAGAGCTGTGATCTTCATGTCAACGCTTTCCCGGATACTCCTGATTAACTCCTTCATGTTCAGAAAATGAATGAACTGCCCATCCCTGATCCCCTTTCGAGCTTTTCTCCGGCTGGCGGGCTGTCGCATCCTCTTCTTGCGCAGAGCTGCATGGCAACGGGAGGAGGAGGCAGCTCGGGATGAAGGAGGGTACCAGCGTCCCACGTGTCCTCCTCACCGCAGACCCAACGCATTGCTCTTCGGTTTCCCATCCCTTCGTTTCCGCATACTGCAGATTCGCATATACACACACATACAACCTCATCCATACACCCATACGCACCCGCGCAGGCTTGCGGAGCTATGATTCCGCGGTGCGCACTCTCCCGTTCCACACTATTTCTAAACTGATCACTCTCTAGGCCTGTATCCATCATCTCCGACAAAGGCCTGTCACTTCTTTTTTTCATCATTCTGATATGCAAATCCAAATTCTCTGTAGCAGTGTTGACCGGAGCTGAGAGGGCGAGTGATAGAGAGGGGGAGAGATGAGAGGAGGCACATCGTCAGATGTTTAGTAGATTGATTTTGGATCCTCGCCATCATTTGTGTGATTTTTTTTAGTCTTTTCTTCACTCCGTCTGCCGGGTTCGTGACATCCTGCGGCTCTCCATGCTGTAATCCGGGGGAATATGTGAAGATCATGCTGGCGGTGTGGTGCTTCACGGTCTTTGCTGCAGTGGGCGAGAGGCTTGCAGTCTCAGGTAAGAGAGAGAGAAGCGAGCGAGGGGGTTTGGATCGAGAGAGGGAGAACCCCTTTCGTTTCCTTTGCATCCACTCTTTTTTTCACCGTGAACAGCACTTTTCGAACCCCGGTGTAGGCTCGTAATTTTACTGTAGCGGGATCTCGGTGCCAAACAGCCCACTGGCCTGAAAGCACAATTTGCTGCATCAACACATTCCCACTGCAGCCTCATTACCTATAACGTATCCATAACCATTTCAGACGAGCATTTAGGAAGAAACATCTACAGCACTAGAATATAACTACATTTTATTGCCCTGGGATGACGATTTGTGAGCCTTTCATTTGTATACTCACAATATGCAGGCTTATATGAGCATCCCTATTGTAGATAATTTAAGTAATGACAAGTATTCTAATTATTTTCCATCAGAGCGTGCACATCTAGCTATATCCACTATTTTTTATAAAATACTATTACGGATAAATAATGTTCACTGTTAAATTAGGTCACCAAACCGTGAGCTTACAGATGAAGACGCTCACAGGCTGATTTGTTTTAAATGTGCATTACTTTGTGCTTGTTTTTTATCCTTAAAGAAATCCCCGCTGCTCTGTTTGGGCAGGTTCACTTGTGTTGCTAACTTGCAGTGCCTAGTGGAAACACACTGTGAGAGTTTTCCTCTTGTATTACATACAGGTGTTGACAGGAACCTGGAGCAGGATGGAAGCATGTGGGACTGGTTTGCCCCAGTGGGCCGGGCGGAGAGTGGGGACACTGCAACCGAGATCATTTATCCAAAGCGCCTCGTACAGCAAATCAAGTCAGAAGAAGAAATGGCTCATGACTACTTGGGTACCAGGGTGAAGAATAGCACCGGGGACACCTTGGTGAGCTTACATCCTTAATTCTGTTTATTCCCATGCTGTAAAGGATCCCAGACAAGGTTTTAGGACCCTTCCTAAATAAAAGAAACTGATACATTTCACTCTAAATTGAACAAAAAGAAACTATTCCACGTGAGTAATGCATAAATACATGTTTCAATGAGAACTTAAAAACATTTGCCCTGCACTAAAATCAATCATTTCCTGCATTTATCGAGGCATAAATGCAGGAAATCCTTGACCATTTCGACTGCAGATAACTGCATGCGTGTACAAGGGTGTGACAGCACCAGGACAGACTTTTATTTTGTTGGTGTCAACCTCCTTTTCCTCCCTGTCAGTAAAACAGTGCAGTGCTCAGCTCCCCACTGCTCATGCGGCTCCTGCTACACAGAGATAACAGCGCAGGGCGGTGTATTGCAGCAGCCTCTACTCCTTGCGATTTTGACCCATTTAGTCAGTGAAAATCCCTTTGAATGTGAAGTGAAGCAGCGTCCGGTGGGTGTTACCAAGAAGAGTTGTTGCTTGAAGCTATTTTTCCCTTCCCTAAATTTAAGCTGTAACCTCTAGCAACAAGTTATGAAACAACACTTGGCTTTCTTAATACGCACTGCTCAAATGCTGGTTAATCAAAGAGCTGTTTAAATGCCGCGCGATATATGAAGCGACCACCATCTCCACAGGACAAAGGTAGACTCTCTTGAAATAGTCGCATCATCTGATAACTCGGATGCCACGCTGAGTCTCTGACTTCTTTATTATTCAGTAGTGTGTTGAAGTATGTCCCATTAATTATAGAACAGGCCTGTGTAAGAAGTGCTGGATGGTCCAAGAGGTCTGAGCACTCTCCCCCATCCACTGTCTCTCCCATTCTTTCTCTCTCTCTCTGACAGTATATTAGGCTCAGTACACACACCAGAGTCACATGCTTCAAGATTTGACTGAATACATATGCTATAATCTTGGGAAGAGATGGTGTCTTAAATAAGCATAACTATAATATGTTCATAAAATGGTTTTCCGTAGACAAGATTTCAAAAGTCTCAGCTGCCTCACTTGCTGTGTTTTGTTTTTTAAATATTTAAGATGCTCGGAATAAGAGACCAGATAAATTTAGAAGCAGCAGGGAGGGATGAGCTGAACTTGTTCTTTTTTTTCTGTCACATCACACTGTGTTCAAAAATAGATGAAGCAACATTTTGGCTGATTTGATTTATTTGGTTTTGCACATTGCGTTCATTTCGGCATAGCTTAAACTCTACAGATTATTAGATGAATATAGATTAGCATCTAGAATCAGATGTTCTCAAGGAAAAAGATAAAGGTATCATAAAGGTATAAAGTTATGGAGCAAGGCAGTTTGTGTGAGAGCAATGCTAGCATAAATCTTACAATGTGTTGTTTGAAGTGTTATTTTATGCAAGAATGTATATTGAACTTTAAGCAATTTACATTTCAGTATCCACAATGGCTTTAAAAGATCTGTAGCAGGTGGGGGCTGCTGGAGACGAAAATAATGATGTGACACAATTGAAGAGGAGTTTCTAAAAAGGACCTTTTAGTGTGATTGTTTCGGCTTTGAAACCAGCAACAATGAGAAAGCGACTGAGTGACAGATTCAGACAAATATGAACTTTTTTGATATTAAGTCTTTGTGATACCATCAGCAGCATCAGAGCAGCTACTTTGTCTTAAAAATAATGTCTTTCAGCCACGTCAAGAACAGTTAAATAGAAACAATCTAAAGCAGTAGAGCAGTGTTACTGTACAGGGACAGAGGTACCAAGCTGCAGCCTCTCCAAGACAATAGTAAGAAATCTGTTGTCTGTACTCAATGGAGGGAATAATTTCTGCATAGTGATGCGTTTTATTGTAAAAGCCCAGTGATTCACTGCAGCCGGTTCCTCCAGACTGAGTTCAAAGCCACGCTGGCACAGTCGAAGCTGCTGAAGAGACATACTGTTTGGTCCGCAGTAAATTTCACTCTCTCCTGCCCCTGCGGTGTCCTTACGTCCTCAAGCCTGGCAGCTGACCATCCGGGGACACGGCATGGCTGAATAGATAGGAGTAACGCTTTCTCCTCTTCCTATCCTCCTGTGAAGACCTCCTCTATTTATCCTTATCACGAGACTCCAGCTTAGCTCCTAAACAGCCATAGCTCTGTGGAGTCAAGCTTGCCTGAAAGCTGGCAGCCAGTGCTGATCAATGCAGACTTTATAAATCATAATATCTCAGCTGCTGAGATGCTTTTAGACCTTACACTGTATTGATTTTGCTGAATTATTCATGAGACTTTTTCACAACCCTTCTGTGGCTTTCACAGAGTGACACATCTAACCACAATTGTTTTGTTACACTTTGTTACACACTGTCAAATCCATCTCTCTAGCGTTTTTTTCTTTTTTCTTCTTTCAGCCTGTCCACTTGGCCCAGAGCTGTTTCCAAGTAGAAGCCTTTGGACGCACCTTCACTTTAGACCTGGAATTAAATCAGTTAGTATTACCCTGTAAATTCATCAGATCTGCTTTTTTTTTGCACATTTTGTATCAGTGGGTGCTCTTAATTTACTGCAGCTGTTCTAATTAGCATTTCCCCACACTTAAGCAAATGCACTTAGCGCCTCTATTATGTTTCATGTCAAGATGGGGAACACCAAATAAATTTGTGGGGAGAACAGACAGCAGAAAAAAATCCCAGTTTATTATTATTATTATTATTTCTGACTAGAAAGGATGCTGTTGCAAGTATTTATAATATCTTATCTCTCTTTGCAGCCATCTTCTGTCTTCAGATTATGTAGAACGGCACTTTAACCAGGATGGCAGTCCCTTTCAGTCTGTGGTAAGGTTTTCTGCATAAGGTGGGATGCTCACATGATTTCAGTGCATGAACGTGATTCAAAGCAGCATTATCAGCATATTAAAGAGAGTGACCAGAGCAGCAGTGCAACACTCACTTAAAGTTTTGCTTCCTCCTGACAATCCTGAACTGATATAGATCAGATTATATAACAAAATCCTTCGGCTCAAACTGTATTTATTTTTATTATTCTTATTTTAGAAGTAAAACACACTTTTTAAGCCATCTTTTTTAAAATTATTGTGCTGATGTTTTCTACTATTTGATCACAACCTCGTGCTTTTATCTATTTATGGAAAGTGCATTTCGTCCTCCCTGCTTTAGAAGTAAGCTCGTGAACATTACCGGTCTGCACATATGTGGGTTTGCCTATCAGTACGTATGCATGCCTCTCTGCTTTTCTCAGACTGCTGAGAAAGAAAGGAAGTGATCGCCCGTGGTGTAAAATCACAAGCCCACGGAGAGAATCGTCGAGCGAACGTGGAAACGGGATAAAACCTTGACATCTAACGATGAGCTGTGTGCTTGTCAGGAGGGACCAGTGGAATGTGACTGCATTGTGCAAGCCAGGAGGGATGGCTAATGTTTGTTTTTTTTCTTCGCTTTTTCGTGGACAAATGTGCCACTCACTGCCCCCAGCACCCACCCACCCACTCAGCCAGCTCTCACATCCCCACCCACAATCATTTCGAACTCTCCTTCGGTCCTCCTGACCAATCACAAGCCTGTTTCCATAGCAACCAGTTAGCTCAGCAGTGTCATTAAGTTCTTGGCAGCGAAGAGAATGAAAGAAGACCGAAAGGGAGGAAGAGCAGATCTGGAATGAGAGGAGGAGGAGGGGGATATATGGAGTAAAATGCCAGTTAATACAAAAGCAAGATGAGCTTTGGGATTGGGGAGGAGTAATTCTGGGGGTGTATGTGTGTTCACAGGCAGTCAGATTGTGCCTGGAGTGGTGAAAAGAGAGAAGGGGCTGCAGGGTTGAGGCTGGAGACCTGTGGTTAGACCAGATTGTCCCTCAGCTGGATGGAGGCTTCATGTGATGATGCCGCTTCTTCTGGACATAGCAGGCGTGATGCATTCAGGGCAGCACTTAACCAGAGTGATCCCTGTGATTAAAATACTTTCAAGTTCAAAGGCATTGTTTCCCTGAGCTGCTGTTGTGAGGTCAAAGCGCCCTGCTGAAATCAATTTAATCCAGGTGAATCAATGGTTCTCACATTTCCCGCTGGTTCTCTTCACCGCTTTAACCTTGCAAAGCAGCGTCAGTGCTACATGACAAGAGCAGATTCCTCTTTGGGGTTTTTTGCGTTTAGTCGCAGCCTGTTTGCTGTACAGTTACTCCACATTAAATTTTAAGAAATAACTGTGTGGGCAATGTTAGTGTTGATTTATTGAAGAGGTCCTGGGCATGGTGTACTTCCAGCTCTATTGTCAGTAGAGTAAAGGAGTGGAGAACACGATACAAGTAGGTCATAAACTGTGCCACTAACATCTTAAAACAGGAAAGCACGGAGAGGTTTTTCCTCACTTCTCACCTATTGTGATATCAAATGATCTATGAAATTGTCCCTATGAAGCTGAGAGTGTGTCAGCAGAGGTTATTGTACTAAGCAGTGGTTCTTTGTCCTCACAGGGAGGGGAACACTGCTACTATCAGGGAAGGTTAAGAGGTTTACCAGAGTCCTGGGCAGCTGTCTCCACATGCCATGGCTTGTGGTGAGTTTGACAGTAGACCTTGTCTGTAACTTCAAATACTAACTCCCTGTGTGTTACAAATTAGCCTCCCAAACTCACCCTTTATTCTTCATCTTGTTGGTGGTTCTCAGTGGCATGTTCTCTGATGGCTTCTTCTCTTACGGTATTGAGCCCTTTCACAATGACAGCAATCAGGTAAATGACCTGTGACTATAATACAGATTTTTATAGTTAAACATTTTTGTTTTAGGTCCTAATCTTAATATTTTCACTTTAGTATGATGGTGCTCACCTAATACGCAGGATGCCTGATATCAGACTTCCGGCCCATTGTCCAGGTATAAAGCCACACTTATCTTACATTCATGACACATTTGACTTCATTTAGGAAAGAACCTATGCCAAGCGCAATTTTTCAAAAGTCTGAAAATAAATGTCACTTTTTGATTCACAGAAGCTGCTCAAAAGCAGCCATTTTCAAAAATACAAAATCATTTCATAAAAATAGATCAAATCAAATTCATAAGAAATGGATAAATAAGCTGGGTATAATTAAATAATAAGAATAATTTTAAATATATTACATTCACAGTGTTCAAAAGGGAACCTGTTTTGTTCCTTTCCAACCTTGTTATGTTAAATTGCAGAGAGTAGCTTTGTATCATTCAAAGTTTGTGAAATAAGCATTTTTAGCTCCCTTCCTCCAGCCTTGAAGTCAACCTTCTTCTGATTGGCTGCCATTCCTGAACAGTAGTTGGGTCATAGCCCGAACGTCCTGGTTTGGATGACCACATTTGGCATATTTGCTCTCAGTGACATCACACAGAGCCAAGTATAGAGAAAACATCTAAACTGAGCATTTAGAGTAGTCAGACACAGAGCTTTTGGTTCATAGGAACTCTCTGCGTATTATTTGAAAAATTTGCAATGTTTAACATTATTATTTGCTCTTGTAACAGTACATATGTTTCAGAAAATGAGTAAAATTATAACAGGTCACCTTAAAGATTCGATTTTTCATTGTTTAAAGCCAACTTGAGCTAATAATTTTCTGTCCTCTATCTTCCTTAAAAAGTAATATTTCCCTCTAACTGCCTGCAGCTCTGCTTTTTTATGTGTCCAGACTGTACAGAGGACAGTGAGTGGGATGGCAGAGGAGGTGATGGTGATGATGATGACAGACCGGACCAAGTGAGGGAGCAGCAGGCGTCTGGGGGTCTGCGACGGTCCAAGCGAAGTGTTCGCAAGCCCTCTGTGCAGACTGAGACCAAATATATTGAGCTGATGGTGGTCAATGACAATGATATGGTGAGTGCTAAAGGTTCTTGGTAGCCTGATGACTGTAGTGTGTACTGCTTAACCACATACCCCATGGTTTGTCCAGTACTTCTCCTTATTTATTGTCTAAAATTTCAGTGCCACAATCAATAAGGACATAAAATCTCCCCAAAATTACAAATGTACTTGTACAGAGAGGAGCAGTACCTAAATATCACCAGGATTTGCATGGCTAACAGTAAACAAGAATAGCTGCAAATGCTTGTCTGATAGCAGTTTGTGAGTAAAAAATAGCAAGTTAAAAGATAAATCAAATACAGAGCCCAGTAACAAGTAGAAATATACATTTTATCATCATAATATCAGCATTTAAATTAATACCTTTTTTAGT